AAACAAATCTTGATACTTTATTGACCAAATGACCAAATTACATATGTCGTACGCGGACCGTCCAATATATCGGGTTCTCGAGACATTCAAGCGGCGCGGCTTCTTCCCATACATCCTACAAATAGGTCATTTTTCAATTCTATCGAAATTCCATCTTCGTTTCATAGTTTGATCTTGATTTTTCTCTCTTTTGCTTTCATGCCACCTGTTGCGTAGCACTAGTCAATGAAGTGACGTAATTGCGTCTGAGAACTACTACGATCTCGAACTTACTACGATCTCCCTCCCTCCTAAGTCATAATCGTGAAAGTATGTCAGTCAGTCAGTCAGTAATGATCTGGCTGTATTGGCTACCGCCAATGAATTCACTCACAGCTGACCGACGAAAGATATCGAAGTCGAAAGTGGATCTAAATATTAGAGCAAAACGAGCAGAAAACCGACAGCTGAAGTCTCTATCATACAGGAGAAAATACTTCCATAAAATCATGTGAAAATTTTTAATGTAATGGGGCGTACTTGCGAATACAAGACTGTGTAAGGTAATTTTATCTCAGTTTGAAATCTCCAGCGCAATTGGTTTGGAGGCTGAAGCGATTACACGGGAGTACTTGGACTCGATTGGCTCACGATCTTACTTACAATTCGCATCCTAAACGAAAAATCCTGATTTCTTTTACACTGTTCTACCTTCATCTATTTAAGAGCTCTCTAATTTTATGTATAACATTCAGAAATGAATTTCAAATTTCGAAATGTCTGTTTCCTGGTGCCATCTGTATTGCAGTCAGATATCCTCAGTACCAAGAACTCCAGTGATAACGGATGTTAGTCAGTAATCAGTGAGTAAGCAAGTACAACGGTGCTTATTCCGATCGCTCTTCCTATACATTATACAAATATTACATTAATAAAACTGTCCAAGTAACAAGCCGTTGATAAGAGAATTGTTTTATCGGTTGCTGAGATTTAGAATCCTGCGAGTCATTATGACTGAAGCAGTATAGTTGAGTATAGTATATAAAGCGAAACGACTCAACATAATACCGGAGTACTGCCGATTAGACTTTGTAAAAACTGTTTGCACAACAGAGCATTGACATAGATATTAAAAAAATGGTGAAAAACTGAGGAGCACCGATCCGTCTTGTAAGCAGTTTGCATCTTAATCAAATTTAGTTAAATCAAACTAAGTCGACACGTCAATTTAATTCTAATGCTCGTTCTCAGTTTAATTGTTTCCTCATTAAATTAACCGTACCTCCGTTTCATCATTAAATCATCGTCCTTCCGGTGAACAATTTTATTCTGCTCTCATCTCAAACAAGATACAAGTGTTTTAATTCATTGTTATTAAAAATAAAAGTAGAATAACTTTTATTCATGTATACTTACTGATAAATGTTACGATTAAACGAATATTGAAAACACAATACTGGCGTTTCATCTAATTCGAAAATAATTAAAAACTTATAAAATAAAAGAAATACTGCAGATTCTAATTCTAAATTACACGTAATGCGATTTTAACGCCTGCTGCGTTTATTAGTCAACCTTGAAACGCAACGTGATGATAGTATAGCATACGTATGAGTACAATTATGATCATCATCACAGTGCACAAGCATTGAAATGATAAATTCACACGTTCGATTTAATATACTTTATCCGAAATTTATATCAATTATAATAATTTACAGAAAATTGATTTCTTCTTATAATTCATCCGAAATATGAAAATCGTATAACGATGGCGATTTATTTGGAATTAATTTGCGGCCTCGTAGCCCTGGTACTGGGCTTCTATTATTATTTCATTTCTACCTTCGAGTTTTGGAAAATTCGGGGTGTGCCCGGACCAAAACCGGTCCCGGTTTTTGGTAATATAAAGGAGACGATGTTACTGAGACTATCGATGGCCGATTATTTGAAAAGGATTTACAAGGAATATGAAAACGAGCCTGTGATTGGAATTTTTACTAGAAGAACGCCGATTTTAATTTTGAAGGATATGGAACTGATAAAGGACGTGTTGATAAGGGACTTCTCGAAATTCGCTGACAGGGGTATTCCCGTTAATGAGAAGGTAAGACTCGAAATATCTAATAAATTCTAGTTCGATTTAAAATTGAATATCGTATAATTATTTAATTTCCATTCGATGACTGATTTAACTGAAAATTAAAGACACGCTGGAAATGAACAATTGTACAATCGCTGAATAATTACAAAATAATTACAGGCGGACCCATTGTCCCCTCACCTTTTCAATCTCGAGGCAGAGAGGTGGCGGCCATTGAGGACTAGACTGTCCCCAGTTTTCACATCCGGAAAGCTGAAAGAAATGTTCCCATTGATAATCGACTGCTCTACGAATTTTGAGAAACATTTGGATAAATTGGTATCGAAAGACGAGCCGATCGAATGCCGCGAGTTGACCGCACAATTTACGACGGACGTGATTGGTTCCTGTGCGTTTGGGATTGAAACGAACGCGATGTCCGAAGAAGAGAGCGAGTTTCGAAAAATGGGGAGGAAAGTGTTCGCGCCTTCCGTCGCGCAAATTATAAAATTCAGATTGAGGCAGGCGGTCCCTTGGCTCCTCACTTTACTATCTTATATTTTGCCACCGTCGGATATCGTCCAGTTTTTCACGAAAACTATTGTCGGTACAATGAATTATAGGAAGGAGAACAACATCGAGAGACCGGATTTTGTTAATATGTTGATGGAGTTAAAAAAGCATCCAGACAAGTTAGAAAACATCAGTAAGCCTTTCCATCGTAACATTTTTAAATTTCAGATACCATTTTATATTAAATCGTACTCTATATAAAATTGTATATTAAATATTCCACCGAAATTAATGGAACAATGTTATTTTTTCAGAGTTGACGGATACTCTGTTAACCGCTCAAGCGTTCGTCTTCTTCGTCGCTGGTTTTGAAACGTCGTCTTCGGCAATGAGTAACGCGCTCTATGAGCTGGCATTAAATCCTAAAATACAAGATAAATTGCGAGAAGAGATTAGACAGTATTACAAGGAAAATGACGAACTCAAGTATGACAAAATTAAAGATCTCACTTATCTGGATTTAGTATTTCGAGGTAATACAACTTTCTCAATTCAATTAGATTACGCACATAGATAAATACTATAAAACCCAGTTTGAAGATATATGTTTCAATCTGAATGATGAAATTGCAATGTCTATCTAAGATAATATAAAAATCGAAGGAATGTATTTCTTCATTGACGGTATAAAATCAATTTAATTAATCTGATGATTTGATTGATAACTTAATTCTTAGAGACACTAAGGAAGTATCCACCGGGGCCACTGCTGATGAGAAAATCGATACACGATTACACGTTTGAGAACACCAAAGTTACAATACCGGCGAAAACATTTATATGGATACCATTGTATGCGATTCACCATGATCCAAAGATTTATCCAGATCCAGACGCTTTCATCCCGGAAAGATTTAACGACGACGCCGTTGCTTCGCGACACCCGATGAGCTACTTGCCATTCGGCGATGGACCCAGAAATTGCATTGGTACATTCTTTTCTATATAAAACCTGTAAATGTTTCACTCAAAGATATTCAATGATCGTAATTACGATTTGAACATATTTTTATGGGTTTTAATACAAATTAATGAATACGAAGATCTGGAAAAACTTCAGTGCCTTTCGAAGTTTAGATTCGCCTAATCATTACTTTTTAAAAAACTTCATTCTAATCGATTGATGTTAATCGTTTCTATTTATATGATTTAGGAGCAAGGTTCGCCGTTTATCAATCGAAGGTGGGACTGATGACTATTTTACGGAATTACAAAGTGGAAGTTTGCGACAAAACTAAGATCCCTTATGAAATCGAACCAGCTGCATTCTTATTGGCACCGAAAGGTGGTATACATTTAAAATTCACGAAAATAGAAAGTTAACAAACATCATTATTGTATATACATTTTTATACACACGCTATGTATACATTAGATAGCTTTAAAAACACATATTATAACATATCTATATTATATGTTTATAAGTATTTGGAAGATAATTAGATAGGAAACTAATCATAAATGAGAAACGTATATTTGTATGGAACTAATTTTGTATAATAAAATATAAAATGTGGTTATCATAATTAATTCTGTATTTTACTTCATTTCAATTTGACTAAAGAACCTGAACGGAGGTTTAAAATTGATCAGAATCGAGCGAGTTCAGCTCAATCTAAACAAGTATATAGAGTAGACGGTACGTAGGGAACAGAGGGAGAGGGACGGATTGAAGGTAATAAGTATGTAATGGCCATGAGGTTAGGTTCTACGAATCTGCGTCGGAATAAATGTGATCACCGTGGGAAAATTCGTTGGAAAAACCTATATAAAGCATGGAGATCATCGGCTGAATCACTCTACTTCCACCCAAGTAACACTAAACTCAATCCGTCCATGACCGATTACAACACTCCTGTTTCTTCCATCAATAAAACCTAATCCCCTCAGTTAATAAAAAATGATTACTCATTGATCGAACGAACTGCTATTGAAAAATAATTAAATTATCAGTAATAAAGTGTAATAATAATGGAGAACAAGAGTCAGAACGTTGGTTTTGACAGTTTTCAAGGCACGACAGATAGGAAGAGCGGAGATTTAGAATATTGGATGACACGACTTCCGGAACCTTTGAAAAGTCTATCCATAATTTACTTGGCCATACCCGGTAAGTTCAATTATTTCATCTAATCTTGTAAAATCTTATATTAATTTTATAATTATAATAGTTATACTATTATAAAATTTCTTAATAATTCGAATTTAAATTTCGAAACGAAGTCCTTCGTATCCCGTTAATAACTTTAAATATTTCAAATAATCTACCAGGATCCCATAACACGATGACGTACACGATAAATCGTCGCAACGACGTGGGACCTGACGAGCCCAGATATGTAAAAGCTCTAGGCCGCTACGTATCATTTTTATCGAAACCAGTAATCTATAATTGGTCCATTACGCAACAAAAACACGTCAAGGATCAACTGGACGGCGGTATACGATACCTAGACTTGAGAGTGGCTACGAAACCGACGGACAAAAGGATTTACTTTGTTCACGGATTATACGGATCCAGGATCTACGAGCCACTCCAAGAGATAGCCCAGTGGCTGTCGAGTCACAATAAGGAAATCGTGATCTTGGATTTCCAGCATTTTTATTTATTCACCGAGGAAGACCACCGCCATTTGATCGATACTATTTTTCGTACATTTCGTACTAAATTATGCCCGGTCATGTCCACCTTCAATTTTTTAACGTTGAATCGATTGAACGCCGAGGATCACCAAGTTATTTTAATCTATAGGAATATTTATGCACAGAATTATTCGACTCTGTGGCCGAGCGGGCTGTGGCGAACGCCATGGCCGAACACTGTTAACGTTAACCAACTGATTAATTTCTTGGACACGGAATTGAAAGCTAGGTCAGTGAAAATTGGTTTAGTCTCGCAGTGTTTGCTAACGCCAGACGTTTCGTACGTTCTGAAACACTTGTGCGGTACGCTTCAAAGGGATTTAGTGCAATCTTGTCAGAAGGCTATCATTTCTTGGATAAATGGGAAGAAACCTGGCGAGGGTGGCTTCAACATCGTTATAGCCGATTTCGTAGATGATAATAATTTTCTATTTTCGAAAACGGTGATTGATAGTAACAGAAAATTGTTTAATCAATACCATGCGTAATGCAAATCGATAAAATTATTTAATTTTGAGTAAAATTGTGAAGCTTCTCTAAAATAAAAAAGATTGTATTGCAGTATTAAAATTCGTGGTGAGAATTAAGAATTCTATGATCATGGCTCAAATCCGCACTGGAAAAAATCGTTAATAATTGTAACACATGACCTGGAAGATTGGAGGATAAATCTTATTAATAAATCATTTTCTTATTGAAAACAATTTCATATATTGTCTCCTCTTAACACATCCACTTTATATTTCGACAACTTGTTTAACAAGTTATTCTGCGATTGTATATTGCGTAATGGTAAAAATAAATAAACAACATGAATCATATACTTTGAACTTCAAATAAAAAAAACGAGATAGAGGTAATGCATCATTTTTCATATTACGAGAGGTTCTTAAGTATTCCCATAGTTATCTACACCTTAATTGACAATTAAAGTTAATGGTTTCAACCGACGATCATCTTCCGAAAATGTATTGCTTAATAGACTGTGATTAAATTAAGTTTCGATTAATTAAGGGCAGTTCTATCTTTTAAAAACTCACTTCGATGATTATCAGCTGTCTCCGCAGTGGTTCTCAAGAATTTCTCGTCGTGATTAAGTAATTTATACGATCACATCGCTTTCACCTTTAACTGTTTCATCCTAGGCGCCCGTTTCTTTGCTAATCTTCTCTGCTCCTTTTCCTCCCATTTTCTCTGTTTGTCGGGATCTTCTTCTTGTAAAATCCGCTCCTTCTCGGCCCGACGACGTTCCTCCCGTCTTTGCGCGGCTGCCTCCGCTCTGGCAGCATGCGTAGTTTTTAAAAACGCCTCCTCCACCCTCAGTCTATTCTTATCTGCTTTACTTTTACCCTAAACGAAAATATCAGTTTTAATTAAATAACCAGATTGACGGCGTTCATAAAAAATTAATGAGACCTTCGTACAAACCTCTTTTGATAATTTAAAGCGACGCAATTTATCCAACAGGTAAAATGTTAATTGCAGCAGAAATTTTAATTTTTCTTGGCTCTCGGCGTTAGTAGTTCGACCCTTGATGCTAATATTTAATCCCACAAGTAAAACCCTTTTCACTTCGGGCATCGTTAACTGAGTCGTATCTCTGTAACAAATAAAATAAAAGCAATGATACCAAATTCTAAAACGCAGCGTATTAAATAGAATTTCACTCTTCGAATCTTTTCGACTCTTACTCTTGTTGCTTTGGACCGCTGTACTGATCGCTGATGTGTATATAATCGATATACTGAGCGAACTTCGTGAAAGCCTGCAGTACTCGCGTGTCGAAAATCGCCGAGGCAGCCTCTGGGATTTCAGTCATCACGTAGAAACCGGAAGGAAGACCGAACTTCTCGCCGGGTCTCTTCTCAGGACAGTAAACGCTGATGTCAGCCATATCTCTGACTAAGTGCACGGCAGTCCTCTTCGTCGCTACCGCGAGGACAAAATTGTCGGTCTCATCCTTCGATAAATCGACACGAACATGTGCCTGATCGTTCTGCGGCCTGACGAGCTGAGCCAGGACGGCTACCAAATCTTGTCTCTTGATCAGCTTCAGTTCTATTAACATGGAATCACAGCCAACTCTACCGGAGCAGTATAAACTATAATGCGACTGGCTCTCCTTCACTAAACCATTTTCTGTCACGTCCTCGTTCGACTTTCCAGTATCGCCGACCAAGGAGAAATTGTCTAATAACAATTGTTTGTGTTCCATTAGCCACATCTCGGCTATGCGCGCGTTCTTTGCTCGCCCAGCGACGTAGTTAATAAAATACACTAGAAGACCGATTATCATCAGTATCTCGACGTAGAAACTGTCCCATCTGGCATGCAGATGTAAAGGGATCTTGGTTATAGTCAATGTGGAGGGCTCGTCGGGTTTCGAGTTTGCGTTGCCTCCAGCAGCGTCCAGTCCCTCGAATTCTTCTTCATCTTGGAAATGGTCGAATTCGCTATCCCCGTCGACTATTAATACATCGTCCTCTTCGTCGAAGTCTTGGTCGCTCACGGTCTCTTTGAACTTCTCGTTGCTACGGTGCTCGTTGCTGCGGTGCTCGTTGCTCACCGGTTGCGATGGCTTCTCCTCGTCGAGGTCTTCGAACTCCGCGAACTCGTTGTCTTCAGATAATTCCTCATGGAAATGAGCCGTCGCCCACAGGTTCGTCGCGACCAGAATTATGTGGATTATCACTAGCCAGAGCTTCATTTTCTACTGAGACAAAGAGAAATAATAATTGCTGATTAATTTATAATTGTCGAATATTTTTATAAAAGGAACGGATGGATGTGCATGTAGAAATAGTTTAATAGAATTCGTAGTGGTATTAAAAATAGACACTTTACTTGAAAAATGCGATCGTAGTTTTCTTACATTTAATTATCAGAATCCGAAGAGTGTGAATCAATATTTAAACTACTAGTTGATAAGAACGAAGCAATATCTCAAATATATTATGAAACGAACGTTTATTGAGAGATAGAAAATAGATACACGGTAAAACTTTCTAATGATAACGTAACGATTACATTCAGTCGACTTATGTATACGTTTTTATGTTTATAACATAATTTCTTCTGTTGTAACGAGAAATACTAACTTCGTAGTGAGATTAGAATGTTGGGCGTGCAATTTTAGACATTGATTTCAGTTATATTATCGGTGAAAAGCGTAAAACTGTTGTCGATTGTAACAAATAACGCCACTGCTGCGACCACACAGCTCCGCTATTCCACTCCGTTTCACAAACTCACTATGGAATCTCGGATACGTGCACGCAGCACGCCATCGTGGAACGATTGAAACATGATGCATTTACGTCACGTCCCTTTGAAGTATGTCACTACGTTATTCACTAGGAGAGGAAATGGAAAATAGGACCTCATCATTGTTAAACAAAGACGTAAAAAATCAAATACAATAAATGAAGTCACACGCCTATTCCACATGGACAATTAGGTTACCGCATTTAAATTCTTCATATATGAACAGATTGATACACGCTGGAGTAAATTAGAAGGCAAAGTAAAAAAGGAATTTTTTAGAATTTTTTATTGTACTTCTTTTGCTTCCTGTGCGAATATTAAACATTCTATTAAAGCCAGCTGTTTACAATTTTCAGCATCTATTTATGATAACTGAATCATGAGAAAAG